GCGCGCGCGCGCGCGCGCGCCTCCCGTCTCGCTCCTTTTCCTACTCCCTCACTTGTTCACCCTTCACTTTTGCCCTCTCTTTCTCTTCTTTTCTCCTGCTCTTCTTTACTCTTTTTACTGCTTCCCTGTTTTCCTTCTTTTCTTTCCTCGTTGCCGTCTCTCCTCGCTCTGCTGTCACCACGTGCACTGCCGTGCGCTCGCTATGCTCCGTCGACACCTTTTCCCTCAATCAATTGATCACCGACTCTCGACCAGTGTTGTTAGACGGGCCGGTTTTTTCGCGCATGCGCGTGATGCGCGACGATGACGGGTGGGGTGTGGCAGTACTGCCGGACCTGCCGGTGTAGAAGAAATGGGCGCCTTGGCGGGCTCGACGTAAGAATAGGGGCTAGATATGTCAAATTTAAAAAGAATAGTATTTAATCTTTATTTAATTAAAGAATAACTACAACTTCATTTAATACTTGTCAAGTTTCATAAATTCTTAATACATTCATAACATACTTGTCAAGTTTTATAATTTCTTAATACATTCATAACTTTATGAATGTATTAAGAATTTATGAAACTTGACAAGTATTAAATGAAGTTGTAGTTATTCTTTAATTAAATAAAGATTAAATACTATTCTTTTTAAATTTGACATATCTAGCCCCTATTCTTACGTCGAGCCCGCCAAGGCGCCCATTTCTTCTACACCGGCAGGTCCGGCAGTACTGCCACACCCCACCCGTCATCGTCGCGCATCACGCGCATGCGCGAAAAAACCGGTCCGTCGTATTCCGGGGTTCAGCCCCCGGCTATTACCGATATACCCTCGTTTGCGGGGGTCAATCTCATGACCCCGCTATTTCGCGTGCCCGCTGCGCTATCTCGACCGCACTCGTCCCGATCTGCTCTGCTTGGCTCTCCTTCCATGGCCCGCTCGTTGGCTCGCTCGGTCGATCATCTGCCGCTCGCCTACCGGGGTCAATCGTACCCCGGTCACCTATATTTCGGGATTCAGGTAAACGCTAGCCATATGGGCTCTTCGGACTCGCTTATCCGGTAATACTATTCGCAAATTGTCGATGTCCGCTGCTCCCCTGGGACCGTATTCTCGAGCCTGCCCTAATGATTTTCGTATGCGACTTTCTATTTGAAAAGCATTGAATTTCGCATGCGAGTTTCATGAAAACGATTCAAGAATAGGGCCCCTGGTCGCTGCTGCCCCTCGGGTTTGTCCGGCTGCTCAGCTATGCGAACGGTTGCAAGGTCAGGCATTACAGTACGAGTAAAGCAATATGCGATTGGACCACTACTTATTTAACCTCATATATCAGACCAAAACATTCGGCAAGCCCTTATTTTCAAGGTATGTACGAAATCCGGAAACTTCAGGGAATATTTTAAGACATAAATAATGTATTCATCTGATCGCTAAGTACATGTATTATTCGTTGAAAACCTCGGACGTGGCGATTTGCATCATTCTATCTTTCTCGTTCATTAGATGTAAACAAGGATAGAATGACAATGGCACGCTCCGCGAACGCACATTTAGAATGACTTATTTCTTGTAACGTGTCGGTAACCTTACTTGATTTTTCGTACACATTACTGTATATTTAACCCCTTATTACTGTATATTTAACATATATCAAATTTAGGTACCTATCTAATACTTGTTCTCACGAAAGGACCACCTTAAACGTGACGACCACCACATATAAATTCGACCACCATGACCTAGATTTTGATGCGTACTCTAATTCTAGACAAGAATTTTGCATTTCTATAAAGCCAATTAAAAGATTAGTGCTAAGAAAAAAACTGAAAAAAACCGGCTAGGATCACGGCTTTAGGATCACCTTAATAGGGTAACTTATATACGCTGCAGCTAAAGAAAACTTAATTTATCTTAATTCTACTTAATTAATTAAGTGCTATTTACTATGTTTAAAGGCGGAATTACGATAAACTTCACGTAATGGAACGCGACTGGACGCGAAGTAACGTGAAACCTAAACACATTGTTTTTATATGCGGCTGATTACGATCGACTTTACGTAACGTGACGTGAAGTATCAGAACCATGAAGAATAGAGATAAGGAAGACGAACTCCTATAGGCGATGCGTCAGATTCATGAGCTCAAAAGTGGTTGTCGATATTAGTTCGAAGTGCTAGTCGAGATGTCGCTTCCGTCCCATAACGGCGTATTCATGTACATACACAGTGCGAGTGTATGTTAGTAGATTACTACACTCGTGGTAGTCGCGATCAGGTGAATATACTACGTTTACGCGAGCGTTATTTCTGTAATAACTAATTACGATAAGTCACTCGTTTACGTGGAGTAAATTATCGTAAAGTTACTGTAGAAGTAACACTCGCATATAAAACATAGTATAAGTGAAGAAGAACGATTTTCTGAAATGTAAACTGTGTGCTCATTTCCCGGTTGTAAATCGGGGAAGGCTAGTGAAAAGAAAAATAATAAATTACATGGTTTAAAGAATAAAACCATGTTTAAATTTCCACGAACGGTTTGTATTTACATCAATACAAAATTCACATATTTGAATTAATTCGCCTGAAATATTTAATATTTTTACAATATTTATTGCTCTAGGATAAATTTCCATTTATTCGACAAAAGTGGGAAGATATTATCGGTCGCAAAGCAGAGGATACCGAAGTTCTTTGTGAGCTTCACTTCAGATCAGAAGACATACGAAGTAATTATGAAATACTTCTTTCAAGTGGTGTACATCATATAATGGAACGTGGAAAAGTCACTTTAAACCCGACAGCAGTTCCTCAAGAAAACGTGTGTAAAGTGAGTACTTTTTTTTGTGAAAAATGCAAATATAACGCTAAATGGTATCTTTATCTTTCAAGTATTTGTATGAATATATTTCTGTTTTCTGCTTTCTGCTATTCTGTCAAGTAAATTCTTCCTCAGTGAGCTGTACAATATTTTCTTTTGTCATTTTTTTATATAAACTATATTTTTCTTTTTATCTGCAAAACTAAATCATCACATAAACATTTTTCTCCCTTCATAAATTTTTCTAAAACATGATTATTGATTTAATTACTTTATTATTATTATTATTGTTCTTTTTTTGAAATGCCAGAATAAAGAATTTGAGAATAATGAACTCAGGACAGCAACAACTGAGATTTGTTTAAACCAGCCTCTTCAAACACCAGAAAAGCCCATCATTTTAGACCAACCCTTTGAAAACGCAGAAATTCATTTAGAATCGATAGACGCATCAACAATACTATCACCATCAACTGTCATGAAGGATTCAGAGAATGACATTAATATCAACTCAGATACATCAGAGTCATGCTTAATTTGTTTAAACCAACCTCTTCAGAAAACACAAGAAAAGCCCATTATTGACCAATCCTTTGAAAACGCAGAAATTCATTTAGAATCAATAGACACATCAATATCACCACCATCAACCGTCATGAAGGATTCAGAGAATGACATTAATACCAACTCAGATACATCAGAGTCATGCTTAGAGACTAATGAATTAGAGTTATTCTCATTGGAAACGCTGAATTATTGTCTCAAACAAATCAAATTTCCAGAAGGCTGGGCTCATTTAAAATTGATGTTTTTGGGACAAGATTCTATAATAGTGGGATATTGGCACGCAAATCGCCCAGCGCTAAAAGAATTTGTCATAAACGTCGATGGATCTGTTGATGTATATATTGTTATCAGTTACAAGTGATTCCTTTATAATGATTTCTTTGTAACCCTTTATATCATGTTATTTCATCGCAGGTTTTATTAACAAAAAAGCGGTGTCTATACCTGGAATAAAACCTGGTACAACTACTAATAATGTGATAAACAACATTCAAGTTCTGGAAAAAGTGTTGCTATGCGATGGCAGTGGAATAGCAGATAGGTATTTTTTCTTTTAACCTAACATTTTTATATGCATCACAACTATGTAGATATATGTAAACTGTTTGCAGGCATTCCAGTTTGTGCAAAGGATATGTACTACCTAATCAAGCACACTTTAAGTATAACCATGTTCGATGTGTACCATGTAAAAAGTTGATTGCCAAGAATTCTCGCCAGCAGAAAAAACAGTTGAGCCAATCAGTCAAGGCACAAGTCAAACGCCAAAAAAGTAGAAAAACAGTAAAATATGAAAAGGCGAAGAATAAGAGAATAAAAACCAAGGTATTATTTACAGTATTAAAAGAAATAGTTGGAATTATTAAAAATTATTAAAACAGTAAACATTATTTTATTTTATTTTATTTTTTATTTTTAGCTGGTGGAACTGAAAGCCGAAGTTGCCCGATTGAAAAAGAATTTCGCAAAGGCAAATAAAGCCGTGGTAGAGAAAGAAATTTCGAATTTACCTCAAGCGCAACAGGAAGCGGTCAGAGCATGCTTCTCTTCAGCGAAAGTAAAGAGTAAAGGACGACGATACACTAAACAATGGATATATGAATGCTTACTCATGAGGATTAAAAACAGAAAGCTCTACGAGCATCTGAGATCACATGAGATTCTTGCTTTACCTCATGTTGACACTGTGAATAAGTATGTGAAATACATGGGCAGTACATATGAGTTTAGTAGCATCATGTTTGATATGTTGCGTACAAAAGCTGAGCAGATGGAACCGGCTGAAAAAAGAGGTATGCATATTATTACTACCAGGTGGGAAATTTAATTTGAGAAAGAAAATATTATTTATATTGTTCTCTGTGCAGGTATTCTCCTTGCTGATGAAATGAAACTGTCTGAAGCCTTAAAATTTGATAGAGATTCCTGTCTGTTTCATGGATTTGTAAACCTAGGCGATTATACACCTGAATCTCAAGAACATGAACTAGGTGATCATGCTCTTGTGTTCATGTATCAACCGTTTCGCGGCTCGTGGGTACAGGCAGTTGCATGCTTTCTCAGCAAGGGTTGTGCCAACAGTAATGTATTGCAATGCCTCGTTCTCGAATGCATCATACTCCTTGAAAAGAGTGAATTTCTTTGTGATGGTGTTACCACAGATGGTGCAACGTGGAATTGAAGTATGTGGAAGAAATTTGGAATTACCGAAAGTAATATTTCTTGTCAACATCCTTACGATCCTGACAGAAAGTTATGGTTTTTATCTGATTTCCCCCATCTGATAAAAAACTTCCGTAATTTTATTACATCACAACTGGAGATATGGGTAATCATTGAACTATAACCATAGTGGAATAAGCACTTCTTTATTCTCGAGTAATCCAAACTGTGCTCATTCTAGTATGAGTATAGTTTAATGTGGATAACATATTTTATTTGATACGCTTTGAATACATCCATCCATTTTATAGTAATATTTTATGCTTTGCAGACACCCGATGGAGTGATAAAAAAGAAACATTGGAAGGCAGTAATAGAGTCCGAACATCATTCTTATGGTTTGAAAGTTGCTCATAAATTGAAACCTGATCACTTAGATCCAAAATATTATCAGAAAATGAATGTACCGATGGCGTTCCAAGTAAAAAAATAATTTGCAAATAAATAAAAGAAAAAAATTATTATATTCTGATTTCTATATATGCATTTTATTTTTAGTTATTCGAAGATCGAGTCGCGGCTTCTATGTCTATATATCAGGAATATCATCCTGAGCTTGCGGATTGTCAACCAACAATTCAATTTATCAAACGAATAAACAGGCTGATAGAAGTCATGATGCCTCGAACTCCCAATAAAGCTTTGAGACCTGGTAGTGATGAAGAAACTGTAAGAATTTTTATTTTTTTAACATTTTTCTAACTTTTGTCTGTACTTTTGTGAAATTACATCAACTTCCCAGGTTATTAACGACCATATAACATTATTGTTTTAGGTGATCACTGAGTTTCTCGAATATTTACACGAATGGGAAATAACTGCAAAAAAAAAATGGTTTTTATTTTATAACGGAAAGCACGTGCTATGGCTTGAAGATTACACTGAGAGCTACTCTAGAAATACTTAGATGTTTGACTTACGAGTGCAACTATAAATACTTAATGACTGCTAGGTTGAATCAAGATGCCTTGGAACGCTTCTTCGGTTTGGCGAGAGGAGTATGCGGGTCAAACGACCATCCTGATTCAACATTGTTTGGCCAGATGTTTCGTCTCATGAGCATGTATTCTTTGATAAAACCATGTAAGGGTAGAAATGTTTCTGGAGGTGAAATGCTTCACTCCCTGTTAAATTTTTCAAACATACCTGCAAGTCAGGCTGGACAATTAGAATGGATATAGATCATGGACAGTATCATCGAACACGGCAAACCCAACAACGATAATATGGATCAGATAAATAAACAAATTGCAAACGAAAAAATGGCAACACAAGATCCTTCTTTTTCTATTATCGAATACATGGCTGGATATGTAGTTCGAAAAGCCGGAAAGTGGACTAAATGTGATGACTGCATTCAAAGTTTGCGAGTATCACCAAGGACCATCGGATGATTGCATTGCTATCTCGAGGATATCTGATTCATCCATCTGACGACTTGATAAAATTGGTACAACTGATGGAAAAAACGATATTAGACATTGTTAAAGTAGAATCCATCAATTCTGATACTGTATTTCACATGAGCTACGCGCTTCAAGAATTGCAGTCTGAGTTACTTCTAATAGGATGTCCATTGCACCAAAGAAAATTGATTACATCTGTGATGAGTTTTTATGTGATAATTTGTGCTGATTTTTTAGCAAAACGGTACAATGCCAACAACTGTACAAAAAGACAAAAGACGCGCCGAGCACGCAAAGATGCTAAGTTGTAGTATGTTTTATGATACAAATAATTAAAATACTATGTTGAAAGTTTTATGAAAGATATTTTATTAGAGATTATATGATTATAAGGTTACAGATTATATATGTAATATTTTATTGAAGATTATATAATATATAATATATACTTTAGTGTTACATATATCTCCTTGGGGTTATATATACAAATACAATGATTTAAAAGAGATTATAAGATTACATTTTTTTATTACTTCATACTTTTAAATTGCAATACTTGCAAGAATATGTTAAAAAGCATAATAGTTTATAGACATACATACATTATAGTTATCTTGTACGATTAAATAAAGTTTTTCAAATTTTCATATTACTCATTACATTTGCTGTATTTCTTTTCCGGTAAGATATAAAATATGTCGTACTAAATAACAAAAAATGTAACTCAAGTTGACTCATTAAAATCATAAACGATCTAATGTTTTTATCACTCCGGATAATTGATCTATTGATTTAATTTTTTTACATGTCATCCAAGATAACAGTTCATTATTACGTAATATATCAACTTCTAAATCATGTTTTATAACAAGTTTCATTCTTTCTTCTAGATTGTTCAATATTTCAACAAATATTATACATTTCTCATACTCGACTGTAACCCAATTATCTGGTTTTTTAACTAATTGTATGTTTTTTTTCAAATATTTAAATGTTATTGGAGGTAGATCATTATACTTAATTGAGTAATTTTCCATGGTAAATATTATCTATACAATTTTTTAATTATATTATCAAGTATTATTTATGTACAATTCGTGGATAAAAGAGAATAGTACTTATTTTTTTCCCTCCCTCTCTCTCTCTCTTTGTATACATACTATTTTCATATTTTTATTTAAGTTTTATTTATCATTTTCAAAAACATTCTTTAAGATTTCGAATTTTGCTTCAACTTCTGTAATCCAATAATCGATTATTGGGTTTCTGCAAAATAGAAAAATAAACAAAAGGTTTAATTTCGCAGAATAATTTATGTAATCACACAATGGTGTTTTAAAAATCTCGGGACGTATACTAACCTCACTTATTTTCCTCAATTCCTACATTATTTTTTCTAATCCACACTCCAATATCTGAGTTTTTTACACTTGAATGTTTCTGGAAACCACATTGTACTTGAATGTATACAATCCTTGATTGTTTAAATTAATTAATAAAGTACAAAAATCTATGTCTGTACATACCTGTGTAAGTCCGCGATATTGGGAGTCTTTCTTCTAATTATTGGCTCCTGCCTCTTATTGTCACAGGTCAATACAGCCAAGTGTCAGAAACTTGGATCCATAAGTGCGCTAAGCTTAAAGAAATGCTACGCGGAGCAATTTCTCCTGCGGACCCCATATCCTACCTCCTCCTGTCTCTTCCCGACTGCCAGATGCCAGTTTGTCGATCGTAACGCTGTCGGTGTATGTTTTTCGAACTACTACTGTAACCGGGTTTTGGGCTTATCTCGAAACATGAAGTTCGTCCTCCTTATCTCTATTATCTCTATTCTTCATGATCAGAACTCAACGCGACGTGAAAGCTTGCCAATGTCAAATCGGGCTGTTCACGTGACTCTTTCAACCAATCAACGTTCTCGACTCTATTCACACCACAACTTTTTAACAACGCTGTCAAATCATTTTTCAATGCACGCTGCTTCACGTTACGGCGATCGTAATTTCACAGATGTACTTTTGCCGTTTATGCCGGGATTACGATGAATTTAACGTAACGGAACGCGACGGACGCGAAGTAACGTAACGTGAACTTAAGAAATTACGATCGCCGTAACGTGAAGCAGCGTG